AAAAGTATTTCAACATTTTTTTTCTATTCATTAACGAAACAAAAGATTTTATTAATAATAAGAATGTCATTTTTAGTTTGAACTCTCTTGTGTTTTTGGACTAGCTTTTGAACTGAAAATATTTAATTTTCATAGAAGATTAAAGAAGAAGTTGGCCAAAAAAAGAGATAAAAAGATTTTTTTTTTGGACAAGTACAATGGTTAAGAAGTTAATATAAGTTAGTTATTAGTAACTAGGGATTCGATCTCCAAACTAGGTGAACATTTCACCCTCTCAAATAAGTCGCACAGCTATCAAGTCATTTTTTGGTGGAGTTTACAATGATGATAGAGTTTGAAACTTCGATTACTTTACCCAAACACTTAAAACTTGATATTGAACCATTGGATTTAAAGATCCGATTCAAGAGAAAAGAATAAAGAAAAAATATATATGGTGTCGCCAACCTCCATACATGTATCTTCAATCTGAATTGAAGACGAGCCTGGCTGCGCATGCTGCATCATTGCGGCGTTGACGACTCCTGAAGGCCACCACGTACGATAAGGTACAATTTTCGTAGTATATATATATTTACTTCACTTATATTATTTACCAGTTTTATTAAATTTTAATTAATTTAAAATTAAATTAAATTAAATTATATAAAAAAAATTAATATTTATTTTTATTTATAAAATTTAAATTTAAAATTTAATTTAAAAAAAACTAAATTCTTCTCCTGGATCAGCATATCATTAATTAAAGACATGTTTGAATTAGGTTTTTACAGTTTTAATTTTTTTATATTATTTATATTTTATATATTTAAATTTTTCTCTAAAATTTTATATTTTAATTTTTTTTAATTTTAAAAAAATCTCAAATAGTAAAAATTTAAAAATTTTAAATTTAAATTTTTCATAAATTTTTTTATTCACTTTTTACTTTTTTTATATCTAAAAATAATTTTTAAAAATTTTTTATTTATAAATAATATTAAAAAAATTAAAAATTCTAACCAATTAAAACCAAACATAGTCAATTTTGATAGTGTATGATTCTAGCTCACCGTGGATACAGCGCCGTACGAAAACAATTACTTTGTGTCAAAATTGCCTTCAACACCAAGGGATATATATTCCGCCGTCCAGTGGATATGGTCAGCCTAATGCGTAGCTTCTTCTTTTTCTCCATCATAGGTGATGGAAGGGAGCACGAGGTCATGCTATTCTGTTTGAATATTGCTAGCTAGAGCACCAATTAATGTCCTTTTGAAAACCTTTACTATCATTTTTTTGGGATTTTATAATTTCTGCATGTTGGATTGAGATATTATTATTGAGCTGCAGTAACATTCCACTACTAATACAGTAAAATTTCTCGTGTTCAAGGGAACGCAATACATTTAATAATTAAAAAAAAAAATACCTTAGTAAAATAAAAAATTATTATATAATTTAAATTACATAATTAAAATTATTTAATTAAGACAACTCTTTTGTATTTTGGTTTTTTTATTTAATAATTTAAATTAA